GCGCGAAGAGCGACGTCGTGCTGTCGGACGCGACGAGCTGGTCGAAGGCGTCGACGAGGGCGACGGAGAGCGTCGGCTCGAAGGGCACGCCGGACGCGGCGCCGATGCCGCGGCGCGCGGCCGCGGGCGCCGGCCCCGCGGAGAGCTCGCCCGCGCTCGACGCCCGGGCCGCGCCCGGGCGGTCCCCGACCGTCGCGGCCCCCGCGTCGACGACGGCCGCGAGCGCGGCGGCGAGGGACGCGCGGCCCGCGGCGGCGTCCGCGGCGCCCGGCGCCCCCCCCGCCGCGGCCCGGAGCGCCTCGAGCTCGTCGGCCGTCGCGGCGACGAGCGCCACGGCCGGCGTCGCGACCTCGGGCCCGTAGGCGGCCTCAACGACAAGGAGCGCCGCTACAACGAGATGATCGCCGCGAAGACCAAGGCGAAGCTCAAGCCCATGCGCACGGCCGCCAAGGCCATCCATCGACAGCTCGCCGAGGCTCGGCTCCGGCGCGTCGGCGACGAGCGGCGGGCGCGCGCGCGCGCGGCAGGCGCGGCGCAGGGGTCGTCGTCGCTGCGGCGCGCGGACGACGAGGCCGTCGACGAGCGCGCCGATGGCGACGAGAGCAGCGAGACGCATCGTCATCTCTTGGCTCCGATTGGCACGGAGTGCAACATTCGCAGCTTGTTTGCGTGCCTATGTTCATACTTTCAGCTTTGTTTGAGTGCACTCAACAGATATTTTCATCGAACACCTTTTCCTGCCATTCCCGACATAAAGTCCGAGGACTTTTGGCGGCGGCAAGCAACCCGGGCGGACAGTGTTGGCAGCCCGGGCATCCCCCCCGCCCCCCATGGCCCCCGCCCCCTGGCGCGTCGCCCTCGCCGTCGCGGCGGCGGCCCTGCGCCCCGCCCGCGCCGACGAGTGCGCCGGCGACTTCGTCGTCGTCCTCGACCGGTCGAACAGCATCGGCAACAAGTGGTGGAACCACCGCAACGACGGGGAGGGCGTCATCGACTTCCTCGAGAGCCTCGTCGCCGCGCTGGACCCCTGCGACGGCGCCGACGCCGGGTGCGCGGCGACGACGCGCGTCGGCATGGTCGTCTTCCCGGCGTACGACGGCGGCGACTACGAGGACGACTGGTCCGGCGGCGCGAAGATCGTCCAGGGCCTGACGACGGACCCCGACGTCTACACGGGCAGCAACGGCATCCTGACGAACGTCGGCACGGGCAAGAACGCGTGCGACTCCGACCCGAACGCCAACAGCGCCGACTCCGTCATGTCGTGGCCCTGCGGCGGCTGGGCCTGGACGCCCACGTGGCTCGGCCTCGAGGCGGCCTACGACGAGCTCTTCGTGAACAGCTACGACCCGTCGAGCATCAAGACCGTCATCCTCGTCACCGACGGCCTCCCGTCGAACAACGCGGCCGTCGGGTCCAAGTTCGAGCGGCCCGTGCACCTGACGCTCGAGGCCGCGACGAAGCTCAAGGACAAGATCGCGACGGAGTCGGCGTCGGGCCGCGTCTTCGGCGTCGGCGTCGGCGGCAACTACGAGGACATCGGCACGTCGCCCTGCGAGCCCTTCTGCGACCACTACAAGGGCGAGGGCCTCTTCATGGGCAACTACGCGTACGGCACGACCTACTCCGGCGAGGTGACCATCGAGGGCTTCGATGGCTCCGACGCCTACTGCGGGAGCGCACCGGCCTGCTACCCCGAGTGCACGGAGTCGCAGCACAACGCGGCGTCGAACAAGGAGGGCTGCGGCACCTACACGGCGTCCGCGACGCACGACTCGCTCGTCACGGGCGACACGGTGTCGGAGAAGTACGAGAACATCGTGAGCCTGTCGAGCTCCGCGGACCTCATCGACAACGTCGACGTCATCAAGGCCGGCGCCTGCGCCGACCCGCCGGCGCCCTGCACGTCGTGCGGGACCGCGAACTGGACGCCGACGCTGAACCCGACGCCGAACCCGACGCCGAACACGACGCCGAACCCGACGCCGAACCCGACGCCCCAGCCGACGACGCCGAACCCGACGCCGAACCCCCCCGACCCCGAACCCGACGCCCCAGCCGACGCCCCAGCCGACGCCCAACCCGACGCCCCAGCCGACGCCCCAGCCGACGCCGAACCCGACGCCGAACCCGACGCCCGCGCCGACGCCCGCGCCGACTGTTGCCACCGGCGACTTCGGCGGCACGTGCCTCGGCGACTTCGTCGACTACGACTTCTCGATCGGCGGCATCTCGCAGAACAACCTCGGCGGCGTCCAGGGCGACTGCAATTAATATTGCTGTAGCTTAGTCCAGAGGGGGCCGACCACCAGGCATACACCAGCCACGGCATACACCAGCATAGCAGCCGCATAGCAGCCGCATAGCAGACGCATAGCGGGCGCATAGCGGGCGCATAGCGGGCGCATAGCAGACGCATAGCAGGCGCACAGCAGGCGCATAGCAGGCGCATAGCAGGCGCATAGCAGGCGCATACCACCAGCATAGCAGCCGCATAAGACCAGCATAGCAGCCGCATACCACCAGCATAGCAGGCGCATAAGACCAGCATAGCAGCCCACCAGCATACCACCAGCGTAGCAGCCGCATACCACCAGCATAGCAGCCGCATACCACCGGCATACCACCCGCATACCACCCGCATAAAGCCCGCATAAAGCCCGCATAGCGGGCGCATACTACCAGGCCCACTGGTCAACCCCCTCGGTCGCTCGCTGCTCTCCTAGTTATTTGCTATTTCTTATCATCTCCCATAATATTATCCTGATAAGTGGATGTAAGTCGTGGGCATGGCTGCCGCACGTGCTGATTCGCCGGAGGCAAACCGTCCGTGCCGGAACATCGATTGAATGAGATGAGCACGCGCAGCAAAAAGTATCGAGTCGAGTGTGAGGGTCCCTCCGCGGAAATCCCGTCGAGGGCTATTGATGCGCATGATGGTGGGCGCGACGTCGACGAGGACAAGCAGGAGTTACAGATCGAGGAATTCTACGAGTCGCTCGGGCCCGTGGGCGTCCTTTTTCCTCTCGTCTTCCTAGGTGTCGCCGCGATCCTGTTCGGCCTCGCCGCGAATGCGATCGCGCTTTACCTTTTGAGCAGGAACCGCAGGTTTGCTTTGCGGCGTCAATTCTCGCCGCCTCGGTCAGATCCAACGCAGGTCTCGATGGCGGGACAAGATCATGCCCTCGTGGAAATCGGCCGGAGTGGACACGTACACGTACATGTGGGCCGGATACCTCCCGCTCGGGGCGGACAAGAACATGCCGAATTCCGACTACGACTATTTGCACTCGGATAACTACCGATATCAGGGCCGTTGGCTCGCGTACGATCACGAGCATGCGGCAGTCCTGGTCGCCGCCGCGCTGTACTTCGCGCTGGGCTTCTGGAGCTTGGGCGTCGTTTGGCAGATGACGCGGGGTTGGAAGCGTTTCTATGGCCTCAAGCGGGCCAAAATTAAGAAAATCCAATGCGACGCCATGTGTCGCACAGTGTTTGTCAAGGGCCTGGAGGTAATCGGTCCAAATGCGGTAGAGTTTGGAACGCTCGTCGCGGTAGTCGGCTTGTCGGCCTTCGCCGGTCGGGGGTCCGGCCCCTCGGGGATCCTCGGCATCGCTGCGAGTGGAATTGTCGTCGTCTTGGTCTTCCTAAGCAAGCGCTCGATTGTCACGTTGATCATCGTTTTCGAGATTCTCGAAATCGCCGTACAGACGTACCAGATTGTGCGCTGGAGCGGCCTGGACCCCATCGAGCTCTGGATGCGCGGCCGAGACTCGGAAGAGTACCATGTCATCGTAGCCAACGCCGCGATGCGAGGGGATGAAGGGCTCGCAATCGTGATCCTGGCGCGGCGCAGCGTTTTCTAAACGAGCGTGATAAAAAGAGAGACTGCCGTAGGTATGGCTTCTCGTAATCAACTGCTGCTTGACCGCGTCGCTGCTCGTGTTCCGTCGATTTTCGCTTAGGCAGGTGATCCTTGACGCGGTTCTCGAGCTCGCGTACGCGTTCTGGGCCCTCTCCGTGGCGCACATGGAAAGCGCGAGGAACGCGAGAGTCCTCGGGGATCATCTGCCGCCGATCCTCGTGTCCAACTCCGTGGCCGACATCTTTCTCGACGTCTTCCCGTTCATCCCTTTCTTGCTCCATTTCCCGGTCGGGGCGAAAGAGGGCGTCGCGTACCGCCGGAATCACCTCGCGAAAATCGCCGCCGGCGCTCCGTCGTCTCCCGACGCAAACGACGAGGAATCGGGCTGTCTCGAGTCCTCGAGCAAGGATGAAGCAGTCGCTCCCGAGCGCGGTGCGACTAATTGGGGGGGCGAACCGGAGCCTGACGCGGCGAACCCTCTGGTTTCGTACAAAGAAAGCAAGGAGAACGCACCTGAACCCGACACGGACAGGCCGCTGTTCGATCCGCCTTCGAGCAAGGCTGACATGGAGACGGCACCCGAGCCCGACGCGGCCAAGCCACCGTTTGACGCGATCCCAAGCAAAGATGACTCGAGCAAGGCGGCAAATCTGTCCTCAAGCAAGGACGGCGTATTGGAGCGTGACGTGGAGAATGCTAGCGTCCCGAAGCCGTCTACCCCCGAGCTAGATATCGACACTACGGACGCGGCTTCGCAGATTAACGACGCCGAGACCGCGGACGTCCCTCGGGTCGAGGCCGCGAACGGTGGCACCTCCGACATACGCAACGAGGTCGCCAGCTCGACCACCGACTTCGGAGGCAAGCAGGAAACATCCATCACATCGCGCAGGAGCATTTTTGCCCTCGGCGTCGTATGGGTCCTCAGCCTCGCCACGGGTATCGCGGTGACGGCGCTCGTTGCATCGGCCTCCGAAAAAGATGACGGATACGAGCTCGTCAGCGATATCTGCAAGACGATTGCCTTCGACTGGACGTTCCCTAAAGGGCACGAAGGTTCGACGAGCGAATTCGGTTGCACCGAGGGCGCCAACATGGAAAGAGGAGGGGATTGTCATGAGTGCAAAATCGGTGTTCGTGGCCTTTGCCCGTTGTGGGAGGCTCAGATTTGGAGAGAGCAGGGTATCGGCGCGAGCCTGCACAGCGACGCGATTCACACGCTCTGGGGGACGGTCGTCTGCGCCCAGAGCACGCTCCAGAGCCGCCATCGCAACTGGGATGAAGTGCCCCAATACCTCACGAGTCGCTTCTATAACACGCGCGAACTGGATCTCACGGGCTCGCGCGTGCGGGACATGGGCGACTTAGTCGAGCGCTTCGTTCTGCTCGAATCGCTCGCAGCGCCAGAGAACGAGCTGGCTGTCCTCCCCGATTCCCTCGGGGATTTGAGGCACTTGGAAAGCCTCGACGTGAGCAGGAACCATTTGCAGGAGCTCCCGGATAGCCTGCTCAAATTGACCGACCTCTTGAAGCTCCACGCGACGGGGAACGACCTGACCGCCGTTCCCGACTTGGGACCACTCACAAAGCTCTTGGACCTCGACTTGTCGATGAATCAGATTCATGACCAGCCAGAATGGCTCGACAAGCTGACATCTTTGAAAACCCTGGATTTATCCCGCAATCTCATCGACGGAAGGTTGACGTCGGCCGCCTGCGCGCTCGCGGAGCTGGAAACGCTCAAGCTCCGGCGCAACCTCCTCGACGGGTTGCCGGATTGCATGGGAGATCTCATCAGCCTCGATGATCTTGATCTCCAGGAGCGACCGCGCCCTGGCGAGCAGGTTGTCGCCGGCGACGACCCAGGCCGCGTCCACACCCGCCGGCAGCTTCGCGAGCGCGTCCTTCGCCGCGGCCTTGTACGCCGCGCAGCACTCCGCGTGCTTCCCGACCTTATAGAGCGCCGTCCCCTTGACGATGGATTTTTTTATGGATTGGTCGATGGTCCGTGCGAGGGTTTTGGTTCGCTCGAGGTTGTGGTCTAAAGTCAGGCGGAAGGCGTCGAGCTGCACCCAGCGCGTGCCCGCGTCATTGTCGACGAGAGAATCCGGGCTGTCGTCGAGGTCCGCGTGGGAGATCGACCTCGCGTCAGCGCGGGAAGGGTAGAAGAGGAGCGGAAACGCCCGGTCCGCCCGTAGGTACGTCTCGACGTCCGCATGTAGGAAAGTTTCGGCGAAGGGGAAGCGCGCCGTGACCAGATCTTTCCAGACGCTTCCCCAGTTCAGGTCGCGGAGCTCGCGGCACGAGGGGCGCAGCTTGACTGCGGCCCCGCCGCAGAACATGGCGACGCTCGGCATTTCCCAAATCCGGACGATCTTGCCGAGGTCGCTGTCCTTTTGTTCCGCGGGCTTCCGCGTGATCTGCGAGATGTCGAGGTCATCCCTCATGGTGTCGTCGTAGATGACGCCCACAAATTTCTCGAGCTCCTCGTCGAGCCAGAGCTCGACGATGGTGCCGTCGTAGTCCCGCGTGCCCCCTTTGACTTTGAACTTCTTCGTGAGCCTTTTGCCGAGGACCTTTTCGATGGGAAAGTTGGTGAGGTGACCCGGGTCGGCGAGGTCAACCTTTTCCTTCTCCCACTTGTAGATGGCGTAGGTGTGCCGCTTCCGCGCGATGATCGTGTCTCTTTGGACTTTTTCGTGGTTGGTCGCCATGGTCGCCATAAACGAAAGGAAGGACTTCGTCATTTCTGGAAACATGGGATCCGCGGCCGGCCCGGAATCGCTCGAGGGCTCCGGCTTCCGCGTGATCTGCGAGAGGTAGAGCTGCTCCCTAAATTCTAAGTCGTAGATGACGCTCGTCATGGTCTCGAGGCGCTCGTTGAGCCAGAGCCCGACGATGGTGCCGTCGAAGTCCCGCGTGAACCCGCCGTACTTGAAGCTCTTCGTGAGCCTTTCCCCTAGGACCTTGCCGACTTCGACTTTTGCTAGCTGACCCGAATCCTCCCGCACCTCGTAGATGACGGGGTCCTGGCGCTTCTGCTCGATGATCGGTTTCATTTCGACGTTCTGGTGGTTCGGCTCGCAAGAGCGGCCGTCGCTGTCCGAGGAGTAGTCGTTGACACCGCTATCCATCCGGGGCTCGACGCGCGCAACGTTATCGATAAAAGTAGACTTCTAACCCGGTTTCAAGTCGTTGGCGCCGATCGTAAGTCGTAAGACTTAGTTAGTGACTAGGGTAAGTCGTCGGGCCCCGGGGTAAGTCGTTGGGGTCGCCAAGCCTGCTTGTGCGCTTGCGCTGGCTTTGAAGATCTCAGGTGCCCCGACCATCACCATCGCGCCATCCCGGGCTTGATGTCTGCGGTTACCGCGCTCGATGGACGTGCTCAACGGCACCCCTTGTGTCCAGCGACAAGAATTGGCATAATATTTTAAAAAAGCTTAAGCTAATTGTAATAAAACTAGAGCTCATTGTGGTAAAGCTTAGTGAAGATCGATGAATTCAACCGCTGACTCGATGAGAATAACTTCACTATAATGAGATCAACGACTGGCGGTCACTGCAGGCGAGCTACTGCTATCGAGCATGGCTGTCAACGATCGCTGATGCTGGGTTCGGCATGTTCCGGGTCTTCGAGGGAGAAAGTGAGGGTAGTTCGCAGTAGAAACCCGGGGTCGGCGGTCTCGAAAAAACACTCCATGTCATCCGAGGGGCTGCAGAAGCTGAGCGGCCCTGTGGGGGCGCGACGCGTGACGCGAGGGGGGCGGGCAAGAGTGATCTCGGCTTCTGCGTGTTCGCCCGCGACACGGACTGGAGTTTCGAGGTCTCCGAGCCCGAGTTCCTACGGCGAAGTGCTCTCGTTTTCTTCCCCCGTGAAGCATAACATGCCAAACCCAGCTTCATAGATCGTGGGGCCATGCTCTGTACAATGAATTGCTTGCAGTGAGATACGTCCGACCAATGAGAGCTCTGCATTTCTGCTCGAGCTCCACTAGTGAGCTTTGCCTCGCCGCCGAGGGTCCTGCTGCTCAGCGACTGGGCGCAAGACGAACTGGGCCGACAAGGGCAGCGGCAGCGCGAAGAAGCGCGACGCCTTGTGGTACCTCAAGAACATCGAATCGCACGCGCTCATGTACCACCACCGCCCCGGGCCGGGCCGCAAGGTCGCCATGGTCTGCGACGACAACGGCGACGGCGTCTACTGGACCGGCTACGTCCGGAACGTGAAGGCCCCGAAGGCCAAGGCCGGCCGGCAGCGTCGCGTACATCATATGCTTCCCGGACTACCCGGGCGCGGAGGAGCTCGCGAACGGCCTCGCCCTCGCGGACGAGCTGGGCTCCGCCGGCACGTGGTAAGGCGCGCAGGGCTAGCTACTAGGCCTTAGCCTCCTCCTCCTCCTCCTCGGCGGCGGCGGCGGCGGCGGCGGCGGCGGCGGCGGCGGCGCGCGCGCGCGCGCGCGCGCGCGCGCGCCGCGCGCGCGCGTGGGGAAATTAGGCCAGTCCTATTCCGTCGTCGATGCTCCAGGCACTGTCGCGTCGTCGGTGTTGTCGCCCGCGTGCCAGAGCATCGCGCGCCGCGTGGGCGGCGGCGCCAGGCGCTCGGCGGCGCGCGGCGCGGCGACGCGTGGCGCGGCGGCGCGTGGGGCTGCGCATTCCCTTCGATCGATGTGTGGTGCGGCTCCGGTGCGATGCGTTGGGGGGGGGGTGACTCGCCGGGGCTGCTGCCCATGGCGATGGCTGCCCCACGAGTTGAAGCTTAGCTCGTTTACGATGACTCGTAGCTCGACAACAATGACTTTATTACGAAACTAGGATTAGGTTTTTCTACAATAAACTTAAGCTTTATTAAAATAAATTTCCACAAGAATTCACGTTGCGCAACAAGGACGATGAACCTAGCTGGCTGTGTTCGCACGTGCAGAGTGCAACTGGCAGCGTCCGTTCTTCACGTTGCGCAACAAGGACGATGAACCTAGCTGGCTGTGTTCGCACGTGCAGAGTGCAACTAACTGGCAGCGTCCGTTCTTCACGTTGCGCAACAAGGACGATGAACCAAGCTGGCTGTGTTCGCATGTGCAGAGTGCAACTGGCAGCGTCCGTTCTTCACGTTGCGCAACAAGGACGATGAACCTAGCTGGCTGTGTTCGCACGTGCAGAGTGCAACTGGCAGCGTCCGTTCTTCACGTTGCGCAACAAGGACGATGAACCAAGCTGGCTGTGTTCGCATGTGCAGAGTGCAACTGGCAGCGTCCGTTCTTCACGTTGCGCAACAAGGACGATGAACCAAGCTGGCTGTCACGTTGCGCAACAAGGACGATGAACCAAGCTGGCTGTGTTCGCATGTGCAGAGTGCAACTGGCAGCGTCCGTTCTTCACGTTGCGCAACAAGGACGATGAACCAAGCTGGCTGTGTTCGCACGTGCAGAGTGCAACTGGCAGCGTCCGTTCTTCACGTTGCGCAACAAGGACGATGAACCTAGCTGGCTGTGTTCGCACGTGCAGAGTGCAACTGGCAGCGTCCGTTCTTCACGTTGCGCAACAAGGACGATGAACCAAGCTGGCTGTGTTCAAGCTGGCTGTGTTCGCATGTGCAGAGTGCAACTGGCAGTGTCCGTTCTTCACGTTGCGCAACAAGGACGATGAACCAAGCTGGCTGTGTTCGCATGTGCAGAGTGCAACTGGCAGCGTCCGTTCTTCACGTTGCGCAACAAGGACGATGAACCAAGCTGGCTGTGTTCGCATGTGCAGAAAGCAACTGGCAGCGTCCGTTCTTCACGTTGCGCAACAAGGACGATGAACCAAGCTGGCTGTGTTCGCATGTGCAGAGTGCAACTGGCAGCGTCCGTTCTTCACGTTGCGCAACAAGGACGATGAACCAAGCTGGCTGTGTTCGCACGTGCAGAGTGCAACTGGCAGCGTCCGTTCTTCACGTTGCGCAACAAGGACGATGAACCAAGCTGGCTGTGTTCGCATGTGCAGAGTGCAACTAGCAGCGTCCGTTGTTCACGTTGCGCAACAAGGACGATGAACCATACAGTGGTCAAACCGTTCAAAGCAGTGGCTACTGCCCATGCTTCGAATCATTTCTCCTGCGCAGCAAGCGAGCATCATGGAACTACTTTAACATGCGTCCGTCCGCACGTATAATGGCAAGTCGCAGTTAGGGGCATAGACGCCTTTCGTGGTACACAAAGCTTCGATCACCGTATCCCAGGAATGTAAAGGGATGTAAGCCCTTCACTATAGGCTAGAAAGGTAGATATTTACACTGCCCTACCAACCGGCGGGGATCTAGCAACACTAAGCAGTGAGCTGCAATTGCAACTCCCAGGCTCCTCGGTCACTAAAAGTGTGCAAGAACAAGAAAGAAGAGGATACCGTTTCCGCGTAGGCTTTTATTAGCTGTGGTGCGGATTATCGGTGCCCGCGAGGGGCAGGAGCTGCGCGTCGCTCCCGGCGACGACGCCGACGACGGGCACGAGCGCCTCGCCCTTCCGGAGCCGGCGCCGCAGGCTATGCACGGAGAGGCTGGTGTGGCCGTTGCGGTCGACGCACGAGGCGATGGATACGTAGTGCGTGTCGAGGTCGACTTGCACGTCGACCCAGCCGTCGGGCCCCGGGCCCCAGCGATTCGGGAGGGCGTCGGCGCCCCCGCCCGTGGCCCTGGAAATGTAGCCGTGGCTGCTGATGAGGATGGCGTCGTCGCTGTCCAAGGTCGCGGCCCCGCCGTCGAACGCGCGCGCGACCGCCAGGCCGACGTACGCGCGGCCGGCGCCGAGCACGGCGCCGAACGCCACCCGGAAGCGCCGCCGCGACCGCGTCAACACATCGCCCCGCGCCCAGCGCGTGCCCGCGGCGGCGCCGGCGAGAAACGCCGGGCCGTCGTCGTTGAGGTCCGCGTAGGAGACTGACGTCGCGCTGGGGCGGAAGAGGAGCGGATACGCCGCGTCCGTCCGTCGGTACGCCTCGACGTCGCGCTGGCCGGCGAAGGGGAAGCGCGCCTCGACGAGGGCGGCCCAGACGGGCGCCCAGTCGAAGGCGCGGAGCGCGCGGCACGCGAGCCGGAGCTTGCCGACCGCGGCCGCGCCGCCGTACGCGCCGACGGCCGGCAGCAGCGACGACGCCGCGATCGCGCCGAGCGCGCCGGGGACGGGCGCCGCGGTGAGGATGCGCCGCAGCTCCTTCTCGGTGACTTCCTCTTTGTCGTCGTCGGTGTAGACGACGAGGAACCATTTACTTTTAGAGTAAAGGGATTTGACCACTCCGTCATACCACTCCATCTTGCCATGGTTATAGAAAGCCTTCTTCACCGTGCGGCCGATGTAGGCGCGCCGGAGCGCCGCAGCGGTGCGCGCCGCGGGCTTCGCGGCCTTCTTCGCCGCGGGCTTCGTCGCCGCGGGCTTCTTCGCCGCCGACGCCTTCTTCGGCGCCCGCTCGCTCCCGCCGGGCCTGGCCATCGCACCCAGCAATCTTTATTCGCTAAGGACGCGTTAGTCTATCGTCTAGAGCGGCTTAGACGATGGTGGGTGTTTAGCGTAGAATCGCTGCCCGAGGACCTCCGGTGGGCTTCGCGACCCACCCGCTGTGCTAGCTCGGCCCGCCTGGGGCGTTCGGGGCCCCGCGGGCTGCGGAAGGGCGCCCCGTGCCGGGGCGTGACGCCATGCCACAAGGCGCTTCTCGCGCGGCCGCTGCTCGCGATGATGTCGGGCCGGATGAGCTGCGTGCGATGGAAGATAAGCTGCACAGGTTCTTGCACGACCTTACCGACGGTAACCCGGCGCATGCGACGAGCATAATGACCACCGCGTTGCGTTACATTCCTCAAAGTAATTTCGAGGTGCGGCCGAATCCGTATCGGTTCTTCTGTCATGAGCATACCAACCACGGGCGCGGCTATTCAAACTTGGCCTGCGGGTGGCGGTTGCAACATGAGACGGTCGCTGCGAGACTCCACGAATGGTCAGAGGCCGGTTCCTATGTCTAGTGTGGCTGCTGCCAGCGATTCGCCACCAACGGTGGCGGTTTCGTTGGCGGGCACCAGCCTACCTAAACGATTCTATTTCATAAACTTTCTACGCGCACCAAGTAATGGGCGTGCGGGTTTTTCAGTGCCATTTCGGAGTGTCCTCTCTTTCACGCACTAGTGAAGGTCGAGCGACCCCCGGTCAATTCACGGTGTGCAACTAGGACGGTGAACCAAGCTGTCGGTGTTCGCATGTAGTGCCATTTGGCAGTGTCTTCTCTTTCACGCACTTGTGAAGGTCGAGCGACCCCCGGTCACCGGTCAATTCACGGTGCGCAGTGTCATCTCTAACTTTGACATCGACAGTGTCGGGGAGCCTTCCTGACCACTCCCCCAAAGCCACATAGGCTTCCTGGACGGCGTCTCACAGTGCGAGCTGCGCGTTGCTGAGCCCAATGGATGAAGATACAGCGCCCAAAAGCTGATCAGGGCCGAACCTCGCGAGGATTCGCGGGAACCCTGTGCGGGGAGGGAATCCGAGTACCAATTCGTGATCAGTAATTGCCTGGAAGTGATCTCGTTTCGAGTCTATCTTCCAGGGGGCGCGCCATCCGCCGCGGGAGGCGGGAGAGAGCAGGGACCTCGGAAGTGACGCCTGCGCAACTAAATACAAACTAAATACAAACTAAATACAAACTAAATACAAACTAAATACAAACTAAATAGCTAAATATTTAGCTTGCAGATCCCCAAGCCGGATCTAGGCGCGCGAAGTCTTCGTAAGCGCCACGGACGCGTCCGCGCAGGCCGCCGAAGCCGTCGCCGACGCCGCGGAAGCCAAGGCCCGGGCCGGCGGCACCAAGGGCGCCACGCTCACGCTGAGCCGCGAAAAATGGGAGAGTTTACGAAGCCTTGTCCATGTGCGGGGTTCGGTAACACGCAACCCCGCCCAAGGTTGTTTGACTGCGAGGACCTAAATTGTAAGGGGAATTGTAAAAGAAGTGGTGCCAATGGTGGCCTCTGTCAGGGCTGCCGCCAAGGAACGGCAACACAAAAGAAGAGGAAAAAAACAACAACCCACACTTCGGAGGCCCCCGTAGAGGATCCCTCCGTCCTCCCTTGTGATGTAAGAGTGACACAGGATGATATAGATGAGTTAAACAGGGTATTACATGATTTCACAACCGGAAGGAGGGTTAGGAGGGGTTTGGTCGAAATAGACTCAGCGCGCCAAATCTACATCCGCTCCTCGGCACTATCACATCAACCTGTGATGTCCACGGATGATGGTGATGTAAGCTACGACGCTTTTGACGCCCTCGATCAGGATGTGAAAGGTAAGCTGGTTAGCTGGATCAACCTCGCGGTCGACGCAGCCTCGGCGCGTCTTGGATACGAGTATAAATTTTCAGCATTCTCGTTGCTTTTTTCATGGAACACTCCAGAACAAATATACCACATCGATTTAAGGAAGAGCGCTTATCAGTTTGCGCTGATTCTCACAGAAAGTGAAAGTACGATATATTCAGATGCCACGATGTCGCTCGACGACGCGTGCATCGAAATGGGTATCAAGCGTGTCGCGGATGAGAAACTCGCTAATTTTTCTTCCCTTCTATGCTCACTCAATAGGATCGATCATTTTCGCAAATCAATTACGAATGGCCCGGCGAAACCGGGAACGCTTTGCATGATGGGAGGCGGCAAGATTCACGCAAAGCCTGAGAACAAACGGTTCAGGGCGGTCATCTTCTTTTCCGCGTGTCCAGTTCATATGGAAGATTACGACCCGAATGAACAATACAATATATTCAGCTTACTCGACGTGCTTCATCATAAAGCTCGCTGCCCTGAAACAAAAACCATGATCAGAATGAAATTCAAAGAGCACCTTCCGTACTACGAAAACAAATACGGCAGACCCCACCTCGAGCAGGCACTCTCCCGCTTGAAGTACGAGCTGCGACGTGCGTGTTAGAATCCGAGTATGCTAGTATGGAGCATCAGCATAGTATAGCATGAGCATAGCCAGTATAAGGCAGACTTAGCATAGCCAGCATAGGCCTCAGGGCGAGCACGAGTATGTTCTGTGACGTGCGGCCCCGTCGACTTGGGGCCCGACCGAACGTGCCGGCACACCGACAAAACGCGATTTCTGGTTGTGCCGGCACACTAAGCTCCGCTAGATCTTCCGGCACACTGTGCCGGCACAAGATACACCCAGCGGGGGGTAGACGCGCGCGGAATTTTTTTCCGGTCTTTAGCCTCCCTTTAGGCCCCACTCGACCCGACTAATATCCCGGCGCGGCTAGCTTAACGCAGATAGTCCCGACCGCGCGGCTGGCGCCTAAAAAAGTTTTGCTTTTCACCTTGGTGCCATTTGGCAGTGTCCTCTCTTTCACGCACTAGTAGGACGGTGAACCAACCTGGCTGTTGGTGTTCGCATGTAGTGCCATTTGGCAGTGTCCTCTCTAACGGTGAACCAAGCTGGCTGTTGTTGGTGTTCGCATGTAGTGCCATTTCGGAGTGTCCTCTCTTTCACGCACTAGTGAAGGTCGAGCGACCCCCGGTCAATTCACGGTGTGCAACTAGGACGGTGAACCAAGCTGTCGGTGTTCGCATGTAGTGCCATTTGGCAGTGTCTTCTCTTTCACGCACTTGTGAAGGTCGAGCGACCCCCGGTCACCGGTCAATTCAGTGAAGAGTAGACCCGAGGGGCAAGGAGTACCGTCCGAGGGCGCAGCCCGAGGACGGTGCGACGCAGCCTCGAGCGGTCTACTCTGAGTGGAGTCACCCTTCCGCCTCCTGCATTCTGCTGGTCATGTTTTCTCTCTGCCGTCGCTCTGTGAGGCGTCGTCGAAGTAGGGGCCCATCGTCGACCCCCCTTATTTTAAATGAGAAAAACCCGCTATTATCCTAACCAGGTCAAAATAGTACCATACTAGTCCTAACCACTAATACGAATTAACACTCCTGTCCATACCCTTGCTAGCATTGCGTCTGACACAGCCGCCGAAGCGGCGTCGGCCCGCCTCGGCGTTTTCGAGCGGTAATGGATGCGTGGATTGTCGCAGAGTGTATGCGCGGACCCTGAGGGCTCCAGACGGGCGCTTGGAGCCTGAGTGAGCGCCTAGAGCGTTGGTGCGTCGATGTAGAGCTGTGCATCGATGTAGATCTTTTTGCTATTATTGCCTGTCAAATCACTCATACGCCACTGCATTGCTTCGGTGCATGGCTGCAGAGACTAAATGTTAAGTGGAGAGAGTGGTGAGGGGAGATGATGTGGTATAGTGCGCGCCAGGCGAGCGTTTGAAAGCGCTTCATGCGTTGCCGCGGTGCTTCGCTCTTGACCCCTCTGTCGAATTGCCCATGCGTCACTGCATTGCTTTGGTGCATGGCTTCAGATGCCAATATCAATGGAGAGAGCGAACACGTGTAAAGAATCTAAGTCCCGTACATCAACTTGACATTAAGGTAGCGAGAGACTGCGGCGAGAGACTGCGGTACCCTTCCCACTTGTGCGAGGGACTGCTCTTGTTTGCGTGTGTACCGAGAGGCGCTTGCCACACCTGTCCTTAAGTGTGAGCTTGTTTTTCTTGACAGAGCGTGCCAGGCCAACTTCCCCTAGGCTTCCCCTGCAACTTCCAGCAGCGCCGTAGCATTATACTAGAGACTAGGCAGCTGGTGTTACCCCCCTTACTCTACTCATATTCCTCCTCGGACTCGCTCTCCTCCTCGAGGATCGTGACGCCCTCGGGCACTATCAAGTCCTCGCCGGGGTTCGCGGCATAGGCGAAGACGAAGGCCCTGGGCCGCCAGGTCGGGTTGCCGAGGCCGTAGGCGTTGCAGTTCTTGACGAGTTCAACGTGGTAGTTCTCGGAGTTGAGCAGCCTAACCATCTGAACGTACGGGGTTGCGCCGCCCCGCGGCTGCGTAACTGCGTAGCATCGCGGGCCCGCGCACTCGTACAGGAATGCGTAGGGTACCTCGTCCTTTGCCAGCAAAAAAAAAAGTAGGTCGACTGCCAGCATTGCTCCCTCCAGCGACGAGTAGGGGACCCCTTTGGCGGGATTCTTTTGTGCACTGGACCAAGGACAAGGGGGGGTAAGCAGGACAACGTCACCTTCACCCGGCAGTCCGGCTTTTACTGCGTCTTTTCGCAGGTCCACGGTGTGAATCCGCGAATTTTTATTGACTGAATTTAACCTGTGGGATTAAATGTCATGTCAGATGTTAACAAAAAGGCGCACCTGTTTATTCTACTTCTTTTGGCGTCCAATTCGTATGAGTTTCGCTTTATGAAGCCCTCGACCTCAAAAGCATAATCCAAAAATCCACAGCCTGAAAAATAACTGTCAAAACTCAAACCTTCGCCGAGCCCGCGTTTCTCCAATATCCATTTGATGGATATGGCAAGGGCGTACCTGCGGAGTATTTATTCGCGGAAATATGAACCAAAAAGGGCGCCGAGGAGCGCCCGTGCTCCATGTGGACCGTGTCCTTGACCATTTGGAGCACTTCTTCGTCAGTAAGCGCCCCCCCCCAATTCCAGTCAGCCGGCGCGCCTGAAAGCGCGGTCAGCTTCTCTCTGTCCAGTATCGCGTCCTCGGGTAGTTGCGTGCTTCCAAGCAGATCAATGTCTGCTTGAAACGTTATCGGCTTTTGCAGCCTCGCCCTTGCGTGGGCGGTGAGCGTTGGCAATGGGCCTTCATGCTGCCCTTTAATTCCAAAAATCTCTTGCCTGTTCGATTTCCCAGCTTCTCCCTCTCCAGGACAAGTGTGGTCACTTGTGGGAAAGAATAGAAAATTGGGACATTCTATAGAGTTTCTCTCAAGACTCTCGCGCGCATCTCCTTTTTCTTTTTTATCTTTAATTGCATCAATGGCGGAGGCTAGCGTACTTTCTTTGCTATTAAAATTTTTTTTAGCATCTTTTCTCTGCTTGTCGCTTAAGAAGACGGACGGTTTCGCTTTTCTTTTCTTGCTTGGTTTTTGTCTAGCGCATATCTCTGCCTCTGGAAACTGCGTTTCCTTTGTATTCGCAGCAAACATCCTTCTCTTCATCCTCTCAATTCTTTTGTCGTGATCAGCGACCTCTTTTGCGTTGTCAACCACCTCCCGCATGCTTTCGTGCCGAACCTCCCTGTCTCTGATAAGACACCTGAGCCGGTGTGGTGCGCCTTTTTCAGTTAACTTTAATAGTGGCCCTAGCTCCTCGACTGCGTGTTCTAATAACTCTCTATGTTCAAGGGTTGAGGGCTCGAGTGACAGAGCAGCCTCTGCTGCGTTGTACGGTTGCCACACTTCTGGCGGTTGGTAATCGTGGTCTATGGGTCTGACTTTGCCGAACACGGCTTTGTTCACACGCTTCATTAACTCCGCGTTGATCTGAGTGGCTCAGATCAACAAATTAATACGATTGGTATCCAGTTGGCCAGGGGTACCCCCTTGGTGTTTTTTACAGCCCCACGAGGTGTGTTGGGGTCGTGGTTGTAGTTTGCACCACGCTCGAGCACCTTGAGCGTACCTCCTGGCCATACCCACTGCGTTCCTGGGAGTGTAGGTTCTTCAGGCGCGCGGACATCTAGGTTCCAGAGCAGCCTCAGATGGCCACAACTTGAACTGGCCAGTATGGCCATGTATCGCCGCAAGCCGCATACCGCTGGACGCGTAGGATCACAACGAAGCCCAGGGGCGCCCCCAACACGGCGTGGCGCATAAATTGCGGGGTATAAAGGGGTTTTCCGAGCCTCGCGGCCCCGAATAGGCCGCCCAGCGCGGTAGCGCGCGGTAGCGCGCGAGATACGACACCTAGGCTGGTCGGCCCGGTCGATGGGCGGTCCCAGTGTATAACCTCGGGATCCAACTGGCGGGGGTGCGGGATGGGGCGCGTCTCGGGTGTCGAAAACGCCACCGTACTTCGCCCGCGAACGTCGGCGTATAAAAACTGGAAAACCGATTCCGGAGGCAGACAGGACGTCACGTCGCCCCAAAGACACGCTAAACCCCGCATCCCGGCATTTTCTTTGCAAAAGGAGCCGCCTCCCTCGAAGTTATGGCCCGAAGCGTCCAACGCGCGTTGCGAAACGCGCGCCGCTGCGATTTAAGAACAATTCCGGCCCCTCGTTCGTGAATGTTAAGCTCTGGATCCCGAGGAAAATGGTCGAGTCGGACCTCGACACCGGTTGGTTGGCGTCCCTGGTGCTCCTCGTGTCGAATTACACGATCCGCGCCGTCGCCTACTCGTGCCGGGGCCTCGTCCGCGCCGGCTCATTAGCGAACTAGGACTCAAAGGAGGCACAGGAGGCTGTTCGCCCCCGGAAATTCGAGGAACTCAGAGACGTAGGTGTCGGGGTGGGGCTCGAGTCCGCACGCGAGGCGCGCGCGTTCTCGGGCTGCGGCGAGCGCCGCCAGCACGCGGGGCTTCGCGAGCCAAGAGGCGGCTCGCTCCGGAGTCGCCGAGGCCTTGAGGTTCACGAGCCCATTCTGGAGAGTCTCGGCGAAGCAAAGGTGCATCGCGACAAGGAAGGGCGAAGATCCGGAGAAGAGCGCGCGCGACTCCGCAAAGGTAATGTGCTGGTTTGTCGTTTTCCCGCAGAGAACCACACACCTGGACGTGGTGAAGTGCCTCATCAGCACATCTGCATCCTCAGAGCCGATCGAGCACCACATAGTTGACCTAGCGAGCCACTCGCCGCAATATTTTGCAGTAAATATGTTCTTGAGCCTGCTTTGCGTCTCTTCCATCCGAGCAACGCTTATCTCTCCATCCTGCAGTGCTGTCAGTAGCCCATGGAGCCTCCTGTCCTTCGAGAGAGCAGTGACCTGTTTTTTATATGCCGTCATAATTCTGTTCTCTTTGCCGCTGTTGTTCTCTTTGCCGCAGGCTGTCGGGCCCATCCAGCCCCGTCCAGCGGCATAGTTCTCCGTCCATGCATGCGTACAGGCGTCACCGCTCTTCATCCTGGCGTCGTGCCGCACTCTCACCTCCACTGCACACTCAATGAGGAACTTGCCACATTCAGCCAACTCCCTCCAAGACGGACGATCGGGGCTGCCCAGAAGTTCGAGCATGTCATCAAGCGATGGCCGGTACTTGCAGTTAACGATTACTGGCGTAAACCATGCCGGTAGGCCCATCTCCCTGGCCTGCAACACCGCTTTTCTCATCTCTATTAAATCTGATGGTATTATTGACCCAGAGTCCGTAAACCGTGCGTAAACCTCCATAAAAGCGCGAGCAAGGGGGACGATGGGGTCGCCGTTTGCCGCCCTTGTTTGCGGTTCCCCGCGCCCGAACAGCTCCTCGAAGCCATCACTTGCTTCGAGGCGCTCGGCGGCGCGATTCGCCGCAGCTACATCACGCCCGGCGGCGAGTCTGGCGCGTTTTTCGCGACCCCGCTTCTTTGCGATGCGAAAGTCGCCCACCGGCTTGCAGGGGCGCGGCAAATGGGCATGCTCCGGGGGCTTCGGGGGCTTCGGGGGCATGCTTCGTAACTGCGTCGATCGTATTAGACACGGTTGCAGGTGGACACACATCGACGCTTCTCCACCTGCAGAGTATCACCGACGACCATCACGAAACTAATCGCCCGTGAAAGTTTCGGACGATATATCTAATTCAAGGCGATTATATATTATGGGGTATGGTAGCCATTGGCAACTTCGAAGGGCCGTTGAAAATCTCAGAGGGGTGGACGAAAAAAACGCGTCTTACAGCACTGCGGGCCTGTTGGAGAAGTCTGCGGCAAGCCTAGAACCGGAGAAACTCCCAGTTGCAAATTCCACAAGAGAAGACGGCCTACCGTCGAGGCGCGCAGGAGCGGCGCGCAGGCCGCTCGCGAGGACGGCTGGTCTCCATAAACCACACCATAACACATTTACAACCCCTAAAGCTCAGCGCTAAAGCTCCGTGATGAACTTGTGCTTGAGGTCATGGGTGTAGTCGGCGGACGAGCCACCGAGCTTGCGGAACTCGCCCTTGGTCGTCGCGGCCTTGTACTTCTCGTAGCGCTGGTGCGACTTGCACCCGAGCTGCTTCGGGTTCTTCTGCTTGAGCGTGATACGGGTCGCATCGCCCTTCTGTGGTTGCTTCACTGCGGGCTTCTTTGCCGCTGGCTTCTTTGCCGCTGGCTTCTTTGCCGTGGGCTTCTTTGCAACTGGCTTCTTTGCGGACTCATCATCATCATCAGAAGAAGAAGAAGAAGAAGAAGAAGAAGAAGAAGAAGAAGCGCCCTCACCCTCAAGTGTTTCAGTTACAGTTTCTTTTAACAGTCTTTTGTCATCTGAATCTAATTTCATTTTCAGGTCTTTTGCTGCTTGTTTGTATACTACTTTAATATCACCAGCACCCAATAGCGCATTGGCCTTTGCGAACTGTATCAGTTTGTTGCACCTGTCCATCTTCTTTGAGAAAGCAGATTGCGCATCAGTTTGCGCAGCATCATCATCATCAGCTAGCGCATCATCATCAGAAGAAGAAAAAGGAAAAGGAGAAGCGCGAGCTTTATTTACCTTACGCTTCTTTGCCGCTGGCTTCTTTGAAGGCTCATCAGAAGAAGAAGAAGAAGAAGAAGAAGAAGAGGGAGAAGCACCATCGTCATCGTCATCATCATCTTCTTCATGAGCTAGCGCAGCACCATCATCATCAAGAGCTAGCGCAGCACCATCATCATCATCACCGCTTAGCGCAGCACCAGCAAAAGCAGCATCATCTTCTTCCTCGTCTTCGTCTTCTTCAGCTTCGATACGCCCCTGCGGCACTGGGGAAAAAATGAGTCCATCAACGCCCTTTGCCAATGGGCAAGTTCGCGCAGTGTGACCTACGGGAGGCTCAGCACCAAAGCAAATACTACACGTCGGCTTCGCCCTTTTTCTTCCTCTCATCTGCTGTTTGAGACTAATTGCCCTAATTTTTTTTTTTGGCCTGCCGGCCTTTGCTGGTTGGAAGCTTGGAAGCCTTAAACTTGCATCCGCCAAATGTGATAGGTTATTATCCTGAATTTCAGCAGTTGATGGTATACTTATAGGTGGCAGAGACTGATAGATTGCTAATAATCCTCTGGTTGTCATATGACTTGGCAAGACTGTTTCTATGTTACACGAGGCATGCCTAGCGCACGCAATCAAGTGCGCGCATGGCCCAGCCATAACCCTTTGACAGCCTCCTTCGCAGGTCAATGTGCCAAGGTTCACGCGGAGTCGTTTGTCACCATCAGAGACGATAAATGTACCACCTGCTTCCTTTTTAACTCTCATGTTTGCGGTTTTTTTACCTTCTTTCTCTATTTTTTCATGGAGTTTTGGAGGTGTGAAAGTTGGACATTGCGTCAATGTTTCTATTATCTTTAACCTCCTGCTCTCCATACCTTCCGCTTTCAAGAACAAAAACTCCATTACTCCAGCCTTCCTTGTCGGAATCGCTGCCGCGTTCATGCATTCTACCGACTGACTGGACGTAATACCTTTCAGTGTCCCAGCTGCCGCCAGGTACAGCTGACCTTCCTCACCTCTCTTAGACAGATATTCTTTCAGATCACTATCCATGGCTAACAATTTTTTGGCTAGTTGGACACCCGTAGGGGCCTTGAGAGCGGAAATGTACTGATCCAGGTTGTCCCTGAGGCTTGGCTTGTCTTTAATATTTTCTGTTACATGATAAGAATCTGCAAACAGCTTTACTTCATCAAAACAAGCATGATGGGCATTAAGGGCCCCTTTACTACCGTCAAAGATGTCCACCTGGGATTCGCAATCGAAACCTGGTATAGCTGATTTGGTTGCTTCATTCATCATCTTCCACGCATCCTCGTTCTCATTACCCCATGACAATGTTGCCATTAGGTCATTAACCATCCCCAGAGACGTTTCTATTGAAACTCTGAGCCCGTATTGGCTCATACTGGCTCCCTTTGCATGTGCAAAATCTGAGCTAGTTATAGAGAGGATAGAAGCGTTGTGCAAAGTAACCAAGCCAGGTGGCGCTATAGAGATATGGACAACATATTTAACATCCTTTTCTAACTTTGGCACCGTCGACTTTTTAAACAACGTCACCTTGTGTTTCGCATCATCTTTTTTTTTCGCCCGCTCACTAGTGTCATGCTCTTTTTTCATTGCCTCACAAAGTTTCTTCTGCATCTCTTTGGAAGTAACAGTTTCAAATTCTACTGTCCACCCTTTTTTCCTAAATGCTGCACAGACAATAGGAAGGTTTGCCACTTGATCGGTCATCTCACCCCCAGGCTTTATGATGTTTCGTGCAAATTCACATGCCCTCTGTACAAACGAAGATTTAGGATTAAGAGTCTTATAGATATAGCGTTGCATGAGTGGTATGGCGACCTTCGGCTTGATGCCGTCGTGCTTATTCGCATTACTAGCAATTAAGCCTGCGAAATCTTCTGAATTGTAGTTCGTGCACCTTTTGGAGACAAGAGGTTTGGAAACACAACTATGTGTCCTGCGCGCAGTAAGATAAGTGACCTTCCAGCTTGAATCGGACTGCCGAAGTATTCTCACTTTCGCGCAGGCTTTGTCTCCACATGCGCATTGAAAAACAATGTTCTGCAAATCAAATTTTTCGCGACATGCGATCACATGAAGCTTCTCGAACATGCCCTTAGCGGCAATAGCAGCGCTTACTCTCGAAGAGAAGGTGTCTCCCTTTTCGAAATCTTGTAGCGCGTGCAGCTCCGTCAACACGGGAGTCTCGTTGGCCTCTAAATCTAAGGAGGCCTTGGCCTTTTTCAATCTCACCTCGCCTTGTCGCTTTCTCTTTTCCTTCTTGTCATCCTCATATGACTGCCTAAGCCTCGCGACTTGGTCGTTCCTCTGCAGTTCTATTGAGCCGAAGGTCAAAGGAGGCACTGGCACCTCAGCCATGTGCCCCCACGCCGGCCCGGGGGGCTTGCAACGCGGATCACGACGACCCGGCTGAACTAGCTGAGTTAGGACCTCTGCGGGATATTGGTACCAGGAGCCCAAAAAGTTAGGACCACTACGAGTCAAAAGAATCTAAGGTTAGGACCGTTATGGGTGTTTTTGGCCTGGGTTAGGACCGTCCTGCATATATACCTCTTAGGTTAGGACCATCGTGCACCTTTTGACTAAGGGGGGGGATAATAGCGGGTTTTTCTCTTTTAAATCTTAACTCTAGTTATTCGTGATATATATTCCCCACCCTCGACCATCGCTTCCTCGCACCCATGCGCCCCGAGTTGAATCGGTCAAAAACGCGACTGGTGCGCCCACCCCCACCCCTCATCATACCTTTCACCACATCCCTCCCTCATAGGTCTGAACTCCTACGACTCTACGCTGAACAGAATTTTCTTTTCGGGCTACGACGGCGAGGACGTCGACCTGTTCCGCGTCGCATGCGAGGCCCAGGTCAAGGCCGAACTCCAAGCAGGCCGAGCTGTAGCGCCCGTTGACGCGCTCTACATGGTCAACCACTCGGAGCGTGTCTCCTGTTTAATCCTCTACATGCAGACGGCAACGTGCCTCGATAACCCATCCCGGATGTATGCCCCCACCGGCATCAAAAAAAATCTTGACTCCATTCAGTCATATCTACGGTCGGGCCAGCGTCCCCCTTTTTTTTACACTTTTTGACTTTGAGATTTTGGAACATGACACTCAAATCGTAGGTTGCGGGAAGGCAAGGACAGCCAAAGGGCTACGGAATTGGGCAATTGGGGTTTTTGGAACAAAACTGATACTGCTTACCGTCGCCTGAATCAGTCGTACAAGGATTTTGGGTTGCGTTTCCAGAAAGAGATTACCTTGTCAAATGCTGAAGGCCGTGCGGAGCTTTACGCTCGAGTGGGCCACACGAAGACCGACCCCATTCCAGCAGCTATCTTTGACCACATGAAAAAATACGTGGACCGCCTCATCACACTTACTCGTGGAGACGGACCTAGTTTGAAAATACAACTTCTTGACGACTATCACCGACGTTGTGTTTCCTCCGGAGACACCCGCACTGTCCACCTCAGCAGATTTGCTCAACACCTAACTCTCATCAGGTTCCGCTTTCAGCTGGACATCGCCTACAACGCTCTGTACTCCGGGTTACTCCACGGTGCGCAGTGTCATCTCTAACTTTGACATCGACAGTGTCGGGGAGCCTTCCTGACCACTCCCCCAAAGCCACATAGGCTTCCTGGACGGCGTCTCACAGTGCGAGCTGCGCGTTGCTGAGCCCAATGGATGAAGATACAGCGCCCAAAAGCTGATCAGGGCCGAACCTCGCGAGGATTCGCGGGAACCCTGTGCGGGGAGGGAATCCGAGTACCAATTCGTGATCAGTAATTGCCTGGAAGTGATCTCGTTTCGAGTCTATCTTCCAGGGGGCGCGCCATCCGCCGCGGGAGGCGGGAGAGAGCAGGGACCTCGGAAGTGACGCCTGCGCAACTAAATACAAACTAAATACAAACTAAATACAAACTAAATACAAACTAAATACAAACTAAATAGCTAAATATTTAGCTTGCAGATCCCCAAGCCGGATCTAGGCGCGCGAAGTCTTCGTAAGCGCCACGGACGCGTCCGCGCAGGCCGCCGAAGCCGTCGCCGACGCCGCGGAAGCCAAGGCCCGGGCCGGCGGCACCAAGGGCGCCACGCTCACGCTGAGCCGCGAAAAATGGGAGAGTTTACGAAGCCTTGTCCATGTGCGGGGTTCGGTAACACGCAACCCCGCCCAAGGTTGTTTGACTGCGAGGACCTAAATTGTAAGGGGAATTGTAAAAGAAGTGGTGCCAATGGTGGCCTCTGTCAGGGCTGCCGCCAAGGAACGGCAACACAAAAGAAGAGGAAAAAAACAACAACCCACACTTCGGAGGCCCCCGAGAGGATCCT